ACTGTCAGCTTGAGTGGCATCTCTGTCGTGGTGGATAGTATGTACCCTTTAAAACGCGTGTGTATAAGTGAGCGCGAAAAATCGACCTAGGAACCCTAATGTATTGCCTATTACTTCGCGTCCCAGCATGTGTGGCTGCTAGCCTGGTTTTGCCTGCATGAAGGACCTGTGAGGACCCATATGTTGGAAAACTATTGAGGTGACAGAGACTTTCCCCATCAGCAGAGCGGAGGACGTGTACGTCGGTATCACCGCTGTCCCTATCTAACCAACTAACAGATCACTCTTCTCTCGGGGCATGTGCCCATAAGTAATATGCAATGTTACATATGAACCTTTATCGCGTTTTCGTACAAACACTCGAGAACATTGGCACTCCTTTTTTACACGAGAGTCCCATCTTCAGTAGTTTCTTTACCTGTGCAACTTAACCTCCTTTGAAGATTTGCATTGTCTTTTTTTTTAGAGATAGTCAAGGGGCGCGTGACTATTTAAAATGAACTTATTCTGACTCTATTAAAGAGAGTGCTACAAGCGTGACAGTCACATGTGTTAAGAGTTGAACGACATATTTCTTCTCTTATGATGTTTGATAACCTATGCTCCTAAGAAAATGTAATTTCTTTTTTTGCATTTTCTTTCGAATGATCTCGTTTCATGCTAGAAATACAGTCACGCACATAACGCATCAAATTCGACGAAGCGCTTGCTTGTATAAACGAAACTATATTCCGCGCCTAGAGACGCGTGAATCGTGATAAGAACTGACACACGCTTGGGGAGGGTGTGCTCGCCGAGGAAAATTAGGTAATCATGAGCGAATTGGACGAGCTATGATTGTGTTCATCACCTTCTTTCCAATGCGTAAGTTTTTAATTTGTGCCGTTCTCCGTTTCGCGTCATCTGAATTCTTCGGCAAGTTACAGAACGATAGGTTATTTTCATTATTCCACCACGATTCCTCCCAATGCAGCACACTGCGATGGACTTCGGACATCTCATTCTTCTTTCTATGGCTCCCCCTCACACGTACGACATGGTGAAAAATTAAGGTCGCTTCTCAACGCGCGCACCGTGGTGGCATATCTCCTTTTATGATTGACCCTATTAGCGCCGTTTCCAGGCAAGGCTGCTAGGTGGTGAGCACCTACTTGGTGTCAAGAATTTTTCGCACAGCGCCCGTCAACAGCGGCCGTGAGTGTACGCTGCCATAATGTCCACCGGGTGCTCGTTTACGACCTTGCACGACGAGAACACTAGGCTGAAGAGCTAAGCTTAAAGAAGGGCACAATAACAAATGAAGCTAAGCCTAGCGGCAACGCAGTGAAATAAATTCCACGGTATGGTTTTATTCACTGATTTCCTTGACGTGTTTGCCTATTTTAGGTTCAATAAATAATGAATGGATATGAATCTGTGAGTGTACGTAATAACAAAAGTACAGAACGTAAAACAGGCAGTATAGCAACACAGAATGCACCCCAATAAAGCTCTGTCTATTTTAGTGAATACATATTATGCGATGACCACGTGAAGTGTTTAATTAAAAAAATCTCCCGCTCATTGGATGTTTAGAGAAACTTATTCTCACAGACAGTGAACATCAATTACAATCCAACAGAACATTGCAACAGACCACAACATCCACAGACACACCAAAAGTTGTTACAAAAAGATATGTGTACATATGTAAACGGAACATAACATACATAACTTACCCAACTAAACAGGAATTGTTACAAAAACAATGTCTACATTTGCACAATACATGGTAAACGAAGAACACACAAATGAAATGTAGAGATCGATATGTCAGATATTTACATAGTATTTACAAGGTATTTGTATGAGTACTAAAAAAATATTAACCTACCAATACCAGGCAGGCCTGAAAACAAGCCTTACACGTCTCTCACAGATGAACACAAAACGGCAGGACCAGTGTCGAAGGAATTCCTCCTCACCCAGAAAGAAGAGTTCCTCCGACAACACAGATATCATTTCTTTGTACAGTCGCTCCTAAATCGGGAAGAGAGCACGGCGGTGACGACCTGCTGCAACAGCTTCACAACGGTTACGCCAAAGACAGTAGGCACCAGCAAGAATGAGAAGGCAGGCAAAGCGGCCTCGAGAACAACGTCCAGAAGAAACAAAGCGGTTTACTCCGAGGCCACGAAATCCTGCATGCACAGCCCTCCAGAAAACACGAGCAACGACACATTGCCTTAACACATGCTGATTTGTTTCCCGTAGGGAACAGTTCGGACATGTTGATGACTGGACCATTCTCCACCTTTCTAGGCGGTCAAGGGTAGGAAGAACGCCCCACCCAAGCCGCCACATGAAGTCCCGGAGGTGGCCAGGTAAAAATTATGCCGTCAGCGTGCTCCAAGACACACGACTAGAGCGGGTGCGTCGTGCTGGAGGAACTAACGGGAGCAACAACGCGGCTGTTGTGTCAACGATAGAATTGTCTAATACATCTAAATCAGGGTAAGTCGACTGGATATGACGAAAAAACGCGACAGCTGTTGCATGAAACGAAGGAAGTACTAATGATTGTGGGCCCTGATTAAGGCGCACATTAGGCAATAAGTACCGAAGGTGAGTGCCTAGAAAATAATATGCCAGAGTTCGCGCGGGGGATTCCTCTCCTTGTACGAGGCGCAACAGGAAGCGCAGGGCCAATAGCCGGCAGCGTATTGATACCGAAGGGAAAGCAAAACCTCCCTGGGAACGCTGCTGTCCTAACGCTGCACGAGAAACCAACTCAGTGCCGCCAGACCAAAAGAAGAAACACAAGGCCGACTGCAATGACCTCACAATGCGTAAAGGCGGCTGTTCCAGGTGAGAAAGGTACCAAATGCGACCGCAGAACACAGTCTGCGCAAGATACCTCCGCTCAAGAAGCGGGTAGTCGAATTCCCGGGCGTTCTCAATTTCTTGTTTTACTTCATCGAGGTCGTTTGACCAAACGGAGTTACAAATGCCGTAGTGGTTGTATAGAATTCCTAAAATGCGAAGAGACGCAGCCGGCTGAAGAAGAGATGTGGACCTATGTGTGGAGTTGGGATAGCCGATGAACAAATACCGGGATTTAGAGAGGTTTAGCGCGGCACCTGAAATGTCCCCATACTGGGAAAATAAACGCAGGCTATGAGAAAGACTATCTTCATCTGAAAGGTACAGGGTTATGTCGTCAGCAAAAGCTGTGACTTTTACGGTACTACTGCCGGGAAGCGCAAGACCCCGGACATGCGAATCTGCTCTAGAGTGCACAAAAATGGCTCAAGGCTGAGGACAAATAAAACAGGAAACAAGGGGCATCCTTGACGGACCCCACGTGTAATAGAAAAGGCAGCACTCTCCCAACCATCTAGAACTAGTGTGCTTTTTATACCAGAGTAGGTATGTCTAATTAATTCAACAAAAGTACCGGGAAAACCAAGGGCTGTGAGCACTTTAAAGATATGCGTGTGCTCTAGTCGGTCAAATGCTTTCTCTTGGTCTAAAGACACAAGGAGACCACGCGCAGATCGCGACAGAGTATAGGCTATGATATCCCTGGTGGTAAAGGACAAACTGTGTATTTCCCGTCCAGGCATAGATGAAGCCTGGTGATGACCCACCAGGGTGTTCAACAGAGCCTTCAAACGTCGAACGATCACCGTCGCGAATATCTTATAGTCAACGTTAAGAAGCGTGATAGGTCTCCAATCTTCAGGATTAACAGAAGAAGCATCACCTTTTGAAATAAGCACAATGCGTCCATCTCGAAAACTTGATGCAAAGACACCAGTCTCGAAACATCGCCGGATAACCGCGGTTAATGCAGTACCAAGCTCACTCCAAGATGATAAGTAAAATTCAACTGAAAAACCGTCTGGTCCAGGGGCTGTCCCCCGTTTCATAGATTGTAGTGCTGCCTTTACCTCTTCAACTGATGGAGGAACGTGCAGAAAATCAGCAGCTTGTCGAGGAACGCGAGGCAAACCTCTAAGCTTAGGCGGTATTATATCACAGTTTGTCCGCATGGCCGAACATGACATCTCTTCAAAATGCGCCAGAAAGAGAGATCGATCACGCTTAGGAGGCGGCTGTGTAGGTGGTGTCTGCATAGTCGTAAAAACAGGTGATTGTGACTGCCCAAAACACGATTGCCTCGCATAGCGTAACACCTCGGGGTGGGCACACGGGTTGTGCCTACAACGCCATGCAGCCGCCGCCAGAGACGAGGTGGCAATCAAACGCTGGAAGCGTTCACGTAATTCATGTTGCCAAGCTCGCATCAAGGGAGACGGCGTTTCAGCGCGCAATGCGATGCGTAACTTCGGTGCAGCATCAGCCAGCTCCTCAGAAACGCGACGACGAAGGGAATGCCCTTCAACTGAGCAGTGCAGGCGCCACTGCGTTTTAAGCGCATCCCAATCAAATAAATCAGACGCAGCGAGTGACACGCGTATTGCACGGGACAAATTTGAGCGAGAGCGCGCGTCCTGGAGGACGCGAACATCAAGACGCCATGGTTTCTCCGAAAAAGAAAATGAAATTTTTAGTTCTAATAGGATCGGATGATGGTCAGAGATGTACACAGGCGAAGGTGGGATGGGCGGAACACGTAAATCGGAGACAAACGTCTCTAAAGCATGTGGAATATAAGCCCGGTCGAGTCTACTGGAGGAGTGCCCGCGGCGCCATGTCCAAACAAAAGTGTTCCCGTGCATGACATTATGCGCATCCAGCAACGAAAAATGCTGGACAAGGCGTCGCAGCTCACGTGAATTACAAGCAGACCGACCCCAGCCAGGACCTTGTACATCGCATCGCGTATTTAGCACACAGTTAGAGTCTCCAATTAGAATTACATGACGACCGCCTAGGAAAAAAACATCCAAATTTCGAAAAAAATCATGAGACCGTCCGGTTTGTGCAGGCGCATACACACATAGTATCCTCATTCGAAGAGAAAAGTAGATACAATATAGAGCAATAATTCTACCTCATTCTATCTGCAGGGCCGTGTCGCTCCTAGTACTGCTCGTGTCCTCGTTGATGGAAACCTCGTCGCCTTGGGACAAAGTCTCTTCAATGATAGGAGGACTAACAGACGACTGGGCAGCCATAGGGTGAGCAACAGATATCACGTCAGCATCTGCGACGCGCTCGCCGAGTGGCGCTTCCTCTGGTGGGGGCTCGACCTGTGGTTCTGTGGGAACCACCACTGGTCGCGGGCTGCTAGATGGATCATCCACACCTTGAGGGGCTGCCTGGTCGGGGCTGGCTGGAGACGCTGTGGGTGTTTGGTGTGGCGTCTGGTGTGGCATTGTGATGCAGCCAACTTCGTCCTGGCAAACATCCGGGCCTAGCGTCAATGATACAACGTCCTTATTCTTGCCTGATTGAAGTGGCGGGTAATTTTTGGAGGCCGCCTCGGAATACGACGGCCTGATGGTGCAGGCGACGGTGGCATGCGGGTCACCACAACGGCGACACGGCAGCGAGCAGCCCTTCCCGTCGTGGCCGTAAACGCTGCACCTTCCACAAAACGGAGCTGTGCAATTCATGCGGAAATGCCCGCTGTCTCCACATCGACGGCACACTCGCTGGATCCCTTTATAGTCACAGGTCACTCGATGGCCAGCGACCTTGAGGTAGTTGGGCACCGGTGAGGATGTCTTCATTTCCATCCGGACGAATCGCGTCCCAGTGGTCACGGTTGGGCACGATCCCATGAGTCCTCTGCTGATGTGCAGCACCTTCCCATAGGGATACAATGCTTGCGTGAGGACCTGGCTGGGGACGCGGCACGGTAGGAACATAACGGTGACTTGAGTGACTTGGGATCCCAAGGGTATGACAGCAACGCGCTCTCCTCTGATGATGAGGTGGGACGCGTCGACGATTTGAGCCAGAGCGGCCTCACTGTTAACGGTGACTTGGTAATTCCGGCCTCCAAAGTGCTGTACACAGTAGACCTCTTCGATTCTTACTATTGAAGACGTTGCGTCAACGACGTCTTCGGGACTAGTCCCCTCGGGGACGACTACGTCGAAGGCTAGCGCCTTCTTCGGGGGCTGGCTTGCCATTACGGGCGTCCGCCAGCCCAGGGACGCCCTGAGACACTAACGACTAAAACGAGGGAACACGTGCACAGGGCGAAGCTCCTTAAAGCGGCACCCGTTCATTGGAGATTGCCTCTGGAATGTTTTGAATACATGTATTTGTATGCTTCTTTACAATGCTCTTTTGGGTACCAATACCCCATTATAGATTGCTAGTTACGTTTACTACTGCAAGCTAAAACAAAAACAAACTCGCATCATTGCAAAGCCATGTGGTTAAATAATATGAAAGGTTTCATGTGATTTATAAACTATTTTGTAAAACAAAGCACTATCACAATATCCCGGTAAATTACGTCCGAATTCATTACCTGGGTTGTCACAAAGTAATAAAACCATTCCGTTCTCTACCAACTCTACAGGATCACTGGCCACTACCTTAATAATGCACCCAACACGGAAACCAGAAGAACGGGAAACTGAGCAATATCTCAGTAATTAAATAAGCAGAATATATGAGGCAGTTTACTGCTGTCCCATAGGGTAAAATTGTGCCTTAAAATGTCAGTAGTTAGTTTCAAACACGTCCTGCGGTATACGCTGCCCTAATTACTAAAGCAAAGTAGTAAAAAAGAAATTACAGATTATTACGGGAAAGAAAGTGTATGCTACCATATATTTGCGAGCAAACGTGTACAACGCTGCTGCCGTGCTTGTACGTCCCCCTTCGCACTTCGTTGTCGTCAATCTCAGGTATCGACTAAGCCCGTAACCTTACCTGCCGGCGGCAGAATCACCGTCCTGGTGTGATCTAAACTCGGGTCATGAGTACTATGGTTCAAGTCTCGAGACATGCACTATCCATCAGGACTGAAACTGTTGCTGACATGTGATGAAGTGGAGCAATCTTGTAGGACCCGCTGGTGACCTTGCTTATGAGGTGGTAAAGGTCAACGTAACGGGATATGCGTTTTTCGCAGAGACCGACACGTCGTGATGGTAGTCAGATCAAGACGAGCAACCCCGGGGAGTATTTCACGTCGGGGTACCGGTTATTGTAAACACTTTTGGTTAACATGCGAGCACACAAGCAATTCTGGGGGACTTGACGGGCGACGTCAGCACAGGCCAGGGCATCACGAGCATATATGCAGTGGATGAGGCGGCGAAAGAATGGAGCATGGTGTCCATGGGTAAAGGTGGGCAGCAACCAAACAGTAGGTAGAAAGGTGAAAAGACAGCTGCGTTATGACGTTAATTGTTATATGCGAAGGTAACGAAAGGTAAGTCGATGTCTCAGTTTTTGTGATCTTTAGAGACGTACATCGCTAACATGTTTGGCAGGGTATGCTTGAGACGTTCGGTGAGGCTGTTGGTTTGTGGATGGTATGCTGTAGTGAACTTGTGTTGGGTGTTGCAGGATCCCAGGAGGTTGTCAACTGCTTTAGATAGAAAACAGCTGCCGCAGTTGGTGATCAACGAACGAGGAGTACCAGGATGCACAATGAAGTCATAAAGAATGAAATCTGCTACATAAGTAGCGCAGTTTGTTGAGAGGGTTGGAGTAATGGCGTACCGCGTTGCGTAGTTGGTAGGGACAGCCATCCACCTAATACCAAATGCGGGCACGGGTAAAGGTCTTAGAAGATCAAGGCTGGCTCAGAAAAATGGCTCATGTGGTATATCAATGTGTTGAAGGCTAGCAGCAGGCCTCAGCGCAGGTGTCTTGCGCCGCTGTTTTGCGTCACATAGAAAGGTAGAAGCCAAGCCACAAGAATCATCGGCGAACGCGGTCATGCGTGCTTGACACCCCAGCTGTTCAGCGGAGGGTGCATCATGAAGCTGGGCCAAAACGTCTGAGTGGAGATGCCCAAGAACAATGAAAAAAAGCTCAGCACCATCAGGGCGGGCTTTGTAGTGGTGCAAGATGTCGTTGTGAAGAACGAACATCTCTAAGGAGTGATCAGAGTGTGGAGATTGCAGACCATCGATAATAGGGCGCTAAGAGGAGTCACAGCGTTGTTCTGCAGCTATGTTGGTGAAGGCTGTGATTGAGAGAACGACAGCTTTGTGCCCATCTTCCATCGTTTCAGAAAGATCTACTGAGTGACGAGATAAGCAGTCGGTTTCCATGTGAAGTTGTCCGGATTTATAAGATACGAAAAAAGTGGACTCTCCAGGCCGCAGCGGCCACCTTCCAAGGCGTCCATGGGGTCCTTGAGCGAGGAGAGCCAGCAAAGGGCATGGTGGTTCGTAGTAATTGAGAAGTTTCTGCCACAGAACTATGGTCGGAATTTAGCAATGGCCCAAACAAGAGCTGAGCACTCGAAGTATGTGATCAAAGAATTTTGTTCCTAGAGCGACAACAGTCGGCTTGCATACACGACCACGTGCGGTGCATTTCTTGTTGCTGTTGCGCCTGCACTGCGCCATGGCCTCCGCCATTAGCATTGGTACGAAGCTCCGTGGTGGCAGATTTGCTGAAGTGTGCTTGCTGTTTGCCCCAGGTGAATGCGACATACTAGCAAAGGCAGATGAACCACATTATGCCTCAAAGGAGAAAGTCCATCATGGGCTCAAAGAGGACAGGTGGTGTTGACGATTCGTATCGATGCTTGGTGGGCACCATAGTGAAAACGTGATTTCACACGCAAGTCGTCGAAGATTACTGGCAGCATCGGTCCGCGAAAGTGGTATGGCTTCTTCTCGTGTTCCTTCAAGGGCTGCCCGCGCGGCAGTATCGGCATGGCTCTCCGCATGCCCACTGGACTCAATCGAAGAGAAGCCACCCTTCTTCATCACTTATGGCTAGGAGTGGCATTTACGAAATCTTATTCCTTTGTCATAGGAACGGCCGACAACGCTCTCTGCGATGTCTCTCATGGCGAATAAACGCAACACCACATCCTGTGGTGTAGTTGTCCGTTGTATGAAATTCAGAGACAGTCACTGGCGTCCGCATTTGTGCGCATCGACAAGAGCCAAATGTCTGTGGCCACTATTCTGTCAAGTTCCCGAGAGAAGACATTGCAACAGAAGGCGACGAAAGCTCTGGTGAATTTCCTACGCGACACGGACTTGAACAAGCGACTCTGATAGCAATGTCAAACACCGCGAAAGACAAGACTGGACTATGACTGAGTGTGCGCGCGTGTGCTGCCTAATGTGCTGCGTTTCTCTCTTCCCTCTCTGCTCTCTATCTTTCATCTCCCCCATTCCTCTCCCATGCGCAGGGTAGCAAACCTGCTGCCTATAGGCTGGTTAGCCTCCCTGCCGTTCTTTTCTCTCTATTTTTCTTACTTCTTCCATCATTGGCTTAAAAGTCGCGGGAGCAAAACATAGTTCAAAAGCCATCACTTTGAAGTAAAAAGTCCATCAGGAATCACGAAGGCCATCTTCTCTCTGTCTTGGTTGTCCACAGCGATCTGTCGTTATTCTGAGCGGAGGGCTCTTGTAGAGAAATATTTAGTGCTCTGCAATCAATCGAGTGCATCATCAATGTGCGGTAGAGGTTATACATCTGACCTAACATTTATTCCTCACATTTGCAGCTTATAGAGCAACTGTTAATCCCCACACTTACACCTTACCGGGCAACCGTTAATCCTCTCAGTTGCCCCTTGCCGGACGAACGGTTGATCCGCTCAAATACTCCAATCGGATAAACTTTTTCTCCCCAGTTCAAACATTGTTTTTTGTTTATTTTCCGCCAGGCCTAATACTTTTTTTGGCCTGTTTTTCTGCGCAGTGGGCAACAAATTACGCAGAAAAGAACACACGAAAAAGTAGTTAGCCACCTATGTGTAACTGCTTTCACAGTCACGGAAACAACGAAAGACAAAAGTGAGACATCTAAATCTTTTATTTTTCTACATACACATGAAGTTTCCCTATTTTATTAAGTGAGTTCATGGTGAAGTGCACAAGTCCAGCCTCGTTGCCAAATCTTGTTCACTCCTTGGGGAGCTCCTCCATTGGAAGCGATAGATGACAGGCATTGCAGACGCCAGCGCACGCAGCCTTCTGCCGGTTGTGTTCCCACGTCTGCACGTACAATATTATAATAAAAATAGTTAGGCACACGTCACAGAAGATGAAGATGCACGCATATGACAAGTGCGTGCACGTTAATATAAAAACAAGCGTTAAAATATGACACACAATTAACTTAACCTTCACATCTCGCACAGTCCTTCTGAGGCTGCTCTGGCGAAAAAGATGGATGACGGGCATCGCAGACGCCAGCGCACAGTCTTCATCAC